CTGTCGATGCTGGTCAGCATTTGAAACATCTGTTTTTGAATAGTGATAGAAAAAGGTGCAGTACTCATTTCGCACGCTATCTTTCAGCGAAAAAATACCAGGTGTTGTCTTTGTTGGCTTCCTGCAAAACAAAAACACATGCAACTGAACCATCAAAACACTCAAAGATATCAAGAACACAAAAATTGTAGCCGGTGTGGTTGTTTTTTCATGTTGGCGACACTGAAATGCTCCCATACGTCGGACATAGCTATGCTAGCCTTTCTGTTCTTCCACTTCGGACCTGCCGTCCCTCGATGTACGCAGACCGTCCGAGGTTGTCCACATTCTTGTGTGTAACAGCAGCCAATAAGTAACGCCAAATGGTTGTCAGCAACTTATGACTAATAAAAATAAAAATCGAAAAAATATGAAAATTCGAAGGTTCTGAACTGCCCAAAACTACCTGAAATCTCCGACACTTTTAGCGGCTTCTTCCACCGAAAGTCCAGCAAAAAGTTCGCTATCCGGGAGCAGGCATTCGATCTGAAAAAAAAAAGCAATGAACTGCTTTCTTTCAAACTGGAATGATACGCAATGATGAAAATGGTGAGTGATCAAAGTCTCAAAGCAAATACCTTGCTAAAAGGCTTCGGTTCCGTGGCAAGAACATGAAGCACCTCACGCCGAAGCAATGCTTTAACAGTAGAGCGTCCAACACCAGGCAAGTAACGCTCGCCTAAAAAAATAATGTTCACGTTAAAAGTCAAAACCCTCTCCGTATTTCACTCGCAGTAAGAGGCGGAGGCACCCGCTGGCTACGACTTCCTCAACAGAGAGTTATTCACAAGCAATTTGCTGGCGGGTTTAACTTACTAGCATATAGCAGTAAACTAATTTGTCGTCGAGACGAATCATAGAAGGATCGTTTGTCCCGTTGGTACAGTCAAACATTCGACTTACTCTACGACAACAGTGCTACCCACTGCGGCAGAGTTTAATCGAAGGGCTCAATGATTTAAAAAAAAAGTGGGTAAAAACAAATGCAAATATGGTAATTATGATTAGTATGGAAATGCTGAAAGAAGTGAGAAAGGAAGGGCCGAACGAATAAATGCCATAATACAAGTGCATACGAATATGAATGA